CAAATCTTCGATCAAATGAAGAATAATGATGTTGTAGAAATATTATTGAAGGTTGGATTCATCTGAGTAAAACTAATATTCTTCCTTTTCTTTCCACTCTACAGGGAAACCATTATGAGCTTTAAGTATTCACAATGGTGCTATGTTTATTAAATTCTAATTAAATAAAAATCAATGATTTCAGAAGCATAAAATTGAGTTTAAGCTGAAATAATTAATGATAGTTCACAGCTGAAACACAGTGCGACAAATGCTAGAATATTCATTTCATCAAATAGGTGCTGGAATTCCATTAAAATGGAATTATTTAACTTTAAGCTATTTTACATCCGATGATAAATGCTAGATGTCTCCTTTGTAAATTGTTGAGGCGTCATATAAATATGGCATCATTAAAGACTGTTGTGGAAATAAAGGTATTAGAGAGTTCTTGTTTGCACACACGAAGCTAAGAAAGATGAGATTGATCTCGCTCTAAACAATTACATTATCATAAGTCTTGTGACCTTTGACATGCGCAGAAGGTTAAATAATAAGCTAAAGCATAAGATCTTTTGTTCGCTAAAATAATAGACATACAAAATTATCTTGTCAAGAAATCGGAGTTGTACTTACTATACGTACATTAGATTAACAACTAAAAGATTGCTAGAAAAAGATAATTTGTATTTACAGCAGTATGTATTAATCATATCGGCAAAGACATTACCGATATTTCCATCCTGTTGAAGTGAAGAACAACCGAGATCTTTTGATAAATCAAACATTTCTGAATTGAATTGAATATTTTAATTCTTGAAGAAATATAACATCTATCAACCGCTTTATTTACTCATATCCTCTATCCTCAGGTATAATTTCGCCTGAACTTTATCTCAAAATGGTTCCAATATTTATTCAATCCCAAATTTTTACTAAAAAGACAACGTAAAAAAATCAGATCTCAGTTAAATTTTACAAAAAAACTATAGTGAAAGCAACTGCCAGAAAGATCAACGAAGATGAAAAAATGATATATGAATTTTTCATAGCGTCTTATCAGTCATTTATCAGCAGTAAGTGCTAATCATCGAGGTTTTGAATGAAACAAAGTGATTTGGATATCTCCAATATTTGGCATAAAAAATGTTACTTTTCTGATCTCCAATTGTAGTAATAATAAATGATAAATAATACTGGAAGTGGTTATGAATTGTCGAAAAATAATGCAAACATTGGTAAATAGAAAGTAATGATTCGCAAAAGTGAGAGGAAAGTAACAGTGTGTATAACTTCGCAATCTTGTTTTTCTAATTTAACAGTACCTAAGCTTTTTTCGAAATTTCTTACTATATTAAGAAAATAATATAAAATATAGTAATAATTATCAAATTTAAGCTTTTAATCACAAATTATTAAACTCAAAATGGTAAAATTTAAAGTATTTTAAGCTATCACCAAAATATACTCAGGTAGGAGATCAAAACATCTTTGTTTTGGTTAATGCGTTGAACTGTTTGTCCCATGGTAACAGTTGCTTCATTCTCGAATTCGATTCGACTCAAAATAAAATCGAGCGATAAGACTAAGAAGCGGAATAAAGGATGTAACAATGCACTGTGAGTGATTTGATTCAAAAATCTGCAAAAGTTTGAACTTCAATGTTTTCATCCTTTTGCAAAATGAAAGCGTTGAAAAAGCAATCAGAGGAAAAAGTGAGAAAGGGAGAGGATGAAGAGGGAGAGAAAGAGAGAAAAAGGAAATATCAAGGATCAGATCTTTGATGTCATATTTTCAAATTAAAAACAATTCTTTTTAAAATATGCTAACCAATAAATACATTTATTAAACTGCACATTGCTATGGGTACATGAAACTTTTCAGTAAATCATTTTTTGAACATTTCTGTAGTATTAGTAAATTATGATACTGTTCTAATTTGTAGTAAAATATCCGTAATTAATAACAGCAGTCATAATTACCTCATGAAGGTGATAATAAGGAAGTGTTATTATCTGTGGAATGAGGAATAGGAAATATAATTTCACAAAACGGTTGTAAGCAATGTAGAACTAACGAAATAGGAATGAAGTGGAAAACAGTAAAGTAATATGAAAAACTCCAACATAATATTTCTTAGAAATTCTCACAGTTTACAGAGACTATAAATGAATTCATCGAGAATTATATAATTCAAAGCGATACCGGTTCCGTTATTAAAAGCTGAAAAAGGTAGCCAAAATCTAAATTAAAGTATAGAAGATTGTTTCATTCCTCGTATAATAAATTATATTGTTTCGTTAATGAATGACAATGACGAATATGATGAAAATCACAAATCAGTGTCTTGAAGTATTGATGAATTGTGCAATTATCTGATTTTAATGGAATTAAAATTTGTTGTGTAAGATTTAAAGCATCGCAAAATAATATGCAACCAAAATAAACTTCAACGCATGGCTCACTTTGTCAGTTTCAAAAGACTATATGATTTTGCTACATCCTTAAAGCACAACTTTGAAAATCAACTTTCAAAATCATTTATTTCACGCCATTTCCAAGTTCCATATATGAAATTGAATTATCTACGTTATTGGAACACTCACATTTCCAAAAATACAATAAGACATGCGAAATGGTCAAAGCTTTTTAGAAAATTCATCAGAAATGATGATACTGTCACCAGTAATGCTACTCTCTACAGATTGAAATATGCGAAGGAGAAGACAGAAAGCAGTTGAACACTGACAAGATTTAATCCGAAACTTTTGATCAAGTTTTAATAAAAACAATTTTAATATATAAAAATGATTTAAAGTCTTCCTTTTACTAAATAACGAACAAAAATTTAAGAATTTTTTTTTCATCTATTTTCATGATGATTGCGACGAGAGCGCGGCAATATGGTATGAATTTAATCATTACTGCCTTCAAAATTCCTTACTAAATTTTTCCTCCTAGTTACAGTAATTATATTTCTTTTGATATCAAAAAAGTACACGTGTCCGACTTGTCCCACTTTGCACTAGCAAATAGAATTTCCCTTCCAACTTGAATGTTTGCGGAATGATTATTGTATAACATTGTACACATGAATCTCTATCAGTATGTTCAGTACTGGCGATCGCTTCAGAAAATTTTCTAATCTCTGCTTCAGTCAATTCACTTTTAATCGATCATATAGTAATCATTGTGTACTGCCAGAAACACTGAGTAAACTTACCTCATTCATTGATGTGGGAGAATTACAGTAACAGAAAACTACCTTAAATGCGGTAAATTTTCTTGTGAATCTGGTGTCATCTGAAATTAGCGTACATGTGAGCAAATGGCGCAATAACATAAATATGAATGACTTAAAGGAACTAAATATCAAAAATAATTGAATGTGGTAGGTAGAGAACATTCTTAGGTACTTTTAAATCTAACTTATCCAATCTGACAAAAAATTCTATAGCATTACAGTTTTTATCGTCGTTATCTAATTTGATTTATTTTTACATAATTTGATTGATTGTTCTATTTTTAATATTCAGCAAATTTATCCTCAAAGATTCCTTGAAAATACATAGAAACTCCGACAAATATCTTCCTGAGTTTTTTAAATTTATAAAAGTTCAATGTTGCAATTTTGAATTTTATTTCAAATAAGATTTTGTATAAGCGAACTGCATTTTCAACTTAATGAAAAACCATGGAAGAAATATCTTTACTGAAGTATTAAAAGTGCAGTCATAATTAAATTTCACAGTGGATGAAAATATCTTTCATGTTCATAACAATTAAACGGCAAATCTTCTAAGTGTAAATTACTAGAAATGAAATAGGAAGAACGTGATTAAAGATCAACAAATATCTTTTAGTAAAAAAAGGTGTCGGCGTCATTTTTTTGATTACCGCAAATTTGTTTTGCTATATTTCAAAAAAGAGATGAAAAAGTTGACGGAATTGAGAAGATGTGATTAAGGAATAAGAATCATTTTTAAACTTTAGGTCAGACAAGTGAGAAAAATCATCTTTAAGTTTTAGATCAAGTAAATCAGGAAGTTTGGTAATGAGACAATGAATCCTGTAAGTAATGTTATCAAATCTACAACATTTTAAAATTGTCTTTAACTATTCGATAATTAAGCTTATGATATAATGACGAAGAATTTTCCTGAAAGGTAAAATTATTTTAAAATAAAGAACTAAAATTTCTGAGAAGAGAACAATCCGGAAACGTTTTACTAAAACTGCTTCAAAATTATTGATACACCGTTAATTCTAACTTTGGAGCAATTTTAGTGCACATAGTAAATATTTGAGCCATTATAAAATCTAGCATTCCTTCTAAATAATATAAATTAAGATTATTACTATTATTAAAATAAAGATATCGCTGCTAATGTATCAAGTAATAATAAATAATTGTTGGCAAAATGCTTACAGTCTGGTCTTGAAAGTCTGGAACTGCGATATTTCATTTGCTAAATTAATTTCATTATTGTTAGTAAAAAAAATATACCGAATATAATTATCACTCTTTTCCACTTCTCTACAACTTCATAAGAAAAGTAAAGATAGCACTGATTTTTTTACTATTATTTGGCAACAACTCTTTAATACTTTTGTAAGACTATAATTTTTCATTATGTACAAGTTGTACAAGCAAAATATGCTACCTCATATTTGATTCCGCAGATATTACTAATTGAATCATTGTAAAAAATTTGTTTCAATTCCTTCTGTATTGCTTCTTTTTTACGATGTCTTTTACATTTCATCTCACATAGTAATAATTAATAATAATGATAATAATGACGTGAGACAATGACAAAATCAACGCTATTAATTTCATTCCTTCCATTATACTTTGGCATGAGGTGGTGCGAACTGAAACACTAATAAGCATAACGATGACGTAGCAATTCTGAGATTTCTCGCTGGAAGTAATGAATGAATTGTACGAGATTCCCGCTGGTGTGACTCCTTTTCAAAGAGCCGCCTATTTTGACTATTAGCTCCATTGAGTGCACAAAATGAAACTGATTGTGTCCGATGGATTGGTTGGTACGGTTGGTGTAATTGGAGCGGGTGGATTTAATTTGATGTAAAATTTATCTGTTTCTAAATTGACCTTATGAATTAATAATCGTTTAATGGTTTTAGAGTTAACGTTGCTGATTAATCGATGCAATGAATGCTACTTAGGAATGATATTCCGTCGTGATTTATGCGGAATCTTTTGCGCTTTGTTCACTTATTTGGCAATGATTTACGCTGATTATGTTGTCATCGTTTGGCTTATTACACCTAATTTTATGCAGAGGTATGTTTTTACTCATTTCAAACCTTCCCAATAATACTGTATTGTTTTAGTCATAAAGACATGCCGTCTTTACAATGGTCATACCTTTCAGTATATGTCAACATCATTAGCACTAAAACTTTGTGAAGAACAACATAGTAAAAGGCATTAAACATCCTCACCGAAAGGTTCTTATTATCGCATATATTTTAGAGCAATGTATTTATTGTTCTTTTTACCTGACCATAATGGTGCATATGAAACTTTGACTTTTAGTGCTTGACTTATCCTTTTTAAAACATTCATTTAAACGTTACACAAAGAAGTTATATTTATAAAACTTGACCGAAAACAATATACATGAAATGATAATACTTATGATATTTCTCATTAGCAGTTACAGTTTATGGGGTGTATTGCATGCAGCGATGTTTAATACAGTGTTATTTTTTGCATTTGTATCACATTTTCGAGCGATGGTTACGGATCCGGGCATTGTACCTATCAGTCGAAAAGGGTACGTTAACTCAACATTGCTTTTTAATGATTTATTCACTCATTATTTGACCTTTAGCAGAATGTTAGTTAAGTTAGAAAATACCATTCAAACTTGAGACCTCACACTAAGCGTAGTTCTGTTTTTTATTATTCAAATTAAGCAGTGGATGTATCATTAATGAAAATAACACGAAAACACAAAGTATTTTACATTCTCATTAAATGAAAATGTATTATTTGTTTATGCATATGCTCAATGTGTTTGTTTAATTGTTTAAAAAAAATTTTTATTCATGGTTATAGAATTTAAAATTTATTGAAATATGGAGTTAGTAGTTGTTGTTTACCTTTTTCTGGTTATTTTTTGGACATGTTTATAGATTATTACGTTGTAAAAAAAATCGTTTTCCAAAACTGCTTTCTGATAGTGAATCTAATAGTTCGGATACCGATGTGAAGTTGATAGGAGAAGGAAACAAATTTGTGGTAGGTTTATTTAGTCATTTCTTCTTAATGATAACATCCATCCTGCATCTCATTCAATTTAAAATAATTTCGCAGCTCTGCAGACTTTATCTACAGCTAATTAATTTATGAGTTAAGCACAAAATAGGACTGTATAATGGCTTGATAAATAGTGAAATGTGGTGTTTTAGCGTGAGAAATTTTGGAACTAAATAAGGACTTGCAATAAAATTTGAATAATTTTTGAGGGGAAGGACTGGACAATTTGCACTCGATGCGAATCCTACAGACCACCGCGAGCGCACCATTGTCGTATTTGTCGACGCTGCGTTCGAAAAATGGATCATCACTGTTAGCTAATATTCATAGTCATAGGAAGTTTGTTAGCAGTCTTTATCTTAAATATGCTTACCAATTATATTCTCTTCCTTTCTAATTATTCTCTCATTTAAAGCAGCACATTTTTCGACGATAGCACTACTATACTTTTAGCACAGTTTTCAGGATGTCACTTCTTATCACCAAATAAATTCACAACGTTTTTCTTATAGTTCGTACCCTGTAATATTTTCTTTCACAATAAATTTTGGAAAATTGATGAAAGAAGATTTGTAACAGATATTCGTCCAGGTCCTACTCTTGGATTTTGGTGTCAGAATCAGAAAAGCTGTAGATAAGGAAAGATTATCACTTAGCGAACAAAATGTATATAAATCTCGTTTTAGATGATTTCTTATGAGCAATGTGCATGGCTTTCTAGATTCAGATTAAGGGAATAAAATAAAGACTGAAATAAAATGAATAGCATCATTGAAAATGTTTGTCACATTGTTTAGATTTTTAATGTTTTTAGGTCCTTGGGTTAATAACTGTGTTGGCGAGTACAATCAAAAATATTTCCTTCAATTTCTGTTGTATGTTGGCTTGTGCTCAGGATACGCTCTAAGGTATGTTTCTAAATCACTTTTTAGCACTGAAGTTATGCATTTTTTTCATTTCTTTATGCGGGAGTTTTATCAGTTACTATTGCATAGCAAAAATCCTCAATAGCCTTGCCGGCTAAAGAGTACTTCTATTAAGTTTTATAGCTGACATCATGAAACTTAAAAATTTTGCACTCATTAAGAATTAATTCTTTCGGTATGTCATTGTTTTATGCAACGTATTTTTAATAAATGCAATCTCTCGTCCATACAGGTGGTTTTTTTTTCAGTTTAATAGTGACGGCTTGGGTAAACTACGATGCATATGGCATTACCGGTTTGAAGGGATCTTACGAACAAAATGTACATCATGCAAAAATGTTAGTGCTACAAAAATTAAAGCCATTTCAGTATTTTATGGAAAAACTCACTGTTAATTATTTTCAGACTACATACTATTTTCCTTTCAATCGAAAGTGCGTTGTTTGGTTTGTTCGTTTTGGCCGTTTCGTGCGATCAGGTAATTTAATAAATAATCAAGCGTCATTATAAGCAAGAAATATTCTGTGACATCCTTAAAATTTCGTTTTATATTAACATATGCATTGTTTCATTTAGGTACAGGCAATTCTGAACGATGAAACAGCAGTGGAAGCAGCTCAGCGCAAGGGTTTTCACAATCGAGTATCTCTGTCACGCTCAAAAATAACTTTGATACGGGAAGTATGTGGCAATGGTACGATTTTGAATTGAAAATAAGAAAATTATATTAATATTTATTTTTCATCTATTATTCTGTCCCATTTCGCAGTATTTCTTCCTAGACAATAATAAGAGAATGAACTGCGAATTAAAAGATTTCCAGATCTTAGGCAATGCTGCTTGATCTACAGATAAGCTGAAATTTACTTTAATTTCTAGGACCGATGATATTGTGGTTGCTACCATGCTCAACTTTGCCGTCAAAAGCAGACGTAGCTCAACTCTCCAATCAATCACTCATTGTTTAAAATTCCATAGCTGTATGCTTCGGAATGGCTCACGGCCGTTTGTTGAACATTCAGTCGTCATAAGAATTTCTTTTTTTGTCGTTCCTGATACAAACGATTTGCAGCAAATTCATGATAACATTTGAACATTTGTTTTGCGTAAAGGATATATATTGTTATTCCATAATTTCAGCGATAATTTGTATCAAGTAATATGATTGAAAAATGATCAGTGAGTAACTATGAGTGTTTGTTCGATCTTCTGTCATCTTTTCTGATCTAAAAACGATGCAGTGACATAGAGATTAACTGGACAAATAGCTCTCTCTCCATGCATCTCAGTTCCCGTCTTATTTGTACATCTATTTCAATAACACAAATACGCCATCCTCTTTCAACCATTTCTTAATTTGTACTTCGTTTTTCAACTGCTACATTGCCATGTGCTTTCTGCTTTTGCTTATGACGACCTTTATGCCCATCACACTTATCATTCTATTGTTTATATTTTGTGCATAATATGACTGTATAGCCGCTATTTATTCACATTCCAAATGTTATTGTATCATTGAATCTATTAGGATGAGAATTTCATTGCTTGACGCTTAAAACTTAGAGTTTGCGGACAACCCGCTTTTTGCTTTGTTTTGTTTGGACTGTCCATTTGCTTATAATTGTACACAAGATTACAGTTATTAAGGATGGCGTTACTCCGACACCAATTTATAGCATTTCAGGGACATTATGTGTAAGCACCATACTGTAATTGTCCGGTTGTTAGTGCTTTGTTTAAATGACTTTCTAATATAAGGTCTCTTTATTCCACAGTTTTTCTTGAAAAACTAAAACATAATCACCTCTCTACAGACTATTGTGTAACTAATCATCAAAATCTGATCCACAGAGAGGGACAAAGGGATTAAAGATGCAGTGGTACAAGTTCTTTCACTCACTCTCCAATAATATCATTTATTTAATGATAAACAAATCTGCATTTCAGATAATGTAATATCGAGTGTCCTATATTTTTTTACATAAAAATGTGAAAGTTTTTATATTCTTATAAATGAAAGAAGTACATGGACAAAACTGGCCACTGATGGTGATCTTTGCACATATTTTAACTTTAGTGAACATACAACACCAGTGGTAGTAAAAGTACTGTAATGATTAACTATCACAATGGAAAAAAATATCACAGATTCAACCTGTTCAAAGAAAAATAGATAATGTTTTTTTGGCCTGCACTAAGACTCGTAAAAAATATTCATTACTAAACGGTACTTGTAATTTCGAAAACAATAACTTACAACTATATAGAACCTGACAAGTATATTAACATAACGAGCACTGTAAGCCTTTTTAATTCACATATACCATGTAGTTATATGCTACCACCAGTACTGAACGAACGAATCGACATAATGATGTCCCGGACAGGTTTATGATTGAAAATCTAAGAACTTAAGAAGCTTCAACGCATTTCTTCCAGATGAAGCGATTCCATTTTGAAATATTTATTTTATTCGGAAATAAAATTTGCTGGAAATTTTCCTAAACAAGTGAAAGACTTTGAAATCAGGATCCAAGGAAATCATTGAAGTGATAAAAACAATTCCATAGCTATATAAATTAACATACTGAAATCATGAAGCGATGCACCGGGAAAAATGTGGTTTAGCAACTGGAAAGATAGGAAGAGTAAAATCTTCATAATTATATCTAAATTAATAAAACCTTTAAGCAATTCTCATAAGATTGTGTTATAGAATTTACTAATAAGAATATAATTCCTGCAAGGAATGAAACCCAAAAAAAAGACATAGAATCCTGAAGAAAATGTACGGTACATCACGCATTGACAGCTTCATTCATTTCCGAAACCTTCTGTTTCATCAATAGCTCTATTTAATTTTTCAGCGAGTTGTTCATAAGATCTGTAAGGTGGCAGATCAAGTCTGTTGAAGCAAGTGTGCGATCGTGGCAACCAATTTTCCTTGCCAACTCGTTCAATGCAGAATAGCTGCGGACCTGTTGAACCAATTAATTCGGAAAAACCACCAACAGGCACCCGACAAGTTCCCGTGACAAACTGCAGAAGGCGCGCACGTTTCTCCTGATCTAGTGAACGGACAAACTGCCAAAACCATAAGACCTAAATTAATTATATATTAAAATTAACGGATAAGAGCAAAAACAAATCCGATACAAAAGACTGTACATCCGGTATTCATTTCCTCCTGCTTATTACCTCATCCGCATATATTTTGACAGAATTAAATGAAAAATCATATATGATGCGAATTAATCCCAGATTTATACCTTCTATATCAATTCAAATGTGTCGATATCAATTTAAATCACTACATTATCTCTCGTGATAGAAATAAGTGCTAAAAAAGAGAACCTTTAACAACAATACTGAATACCATATTTCCATTGCATCAAATAAGTCTTAATCAAATAATCTCAAGAAACCTATCATTGAAAAGTAAATAAAAACATGCGAAAAACAATACCACTATTTTTTTGTACTCCATTACAAAACGCTATTAAATCAGAAAACACGCTATCATATATCCTACCCAATAAGATTCACAGATTTTACCTGTTTACTTTGTGGTGCATAATGCCTGTAAACAGTATTCCTTTGCCAGTCATCAACATCGACATCTTGCATCCCACAAAGCAGCAGTTCCAGCTCACGCTCATCAAAGTACTGCAACCATTCAAGCGGAAAAACAGAATTAAAACCGGTGAAAAACGCCCGTGTCTGTTGTTCAATACCACGGTTGAACCGCCATTCCATCAGCAGTTCAATATATTCTTCCTTGTTTCCCTCGCATACTTTCTACAATATATATTTACAACTTTGACTTTGTGCATTAGTAAATCACACTTAGTAACACTGGGAAAAACACTTCGCCGCAGTGCAGGAATAAGCAACAAATTTCTTTTATATCTATTAACAACTAGCAATCTCGACTCTTGTTTACTGACAAATAAAAGCAAATATATGTAAACAATGTGCACCAATTCAGCGCCACCCTCCTTTAATTCATGAGTTCGAATTTCGCCCAATAACTCATAATCAGCAACAAAATAGAGCTCCATATCACATTCATCCACATCGTTTTCCTTGATCCATATTAAACTGTTGTAAAACTCAGCGTCAACGCTTTCCAAATCCTTTAGCGTAAACTTTTTTCTGAGCATTTTTTTATAAAAAGGCATCGTAAATCCGCTGTAGATAAATTTCCCGTGAAAAAGAGCCTGAAAATTTAATAAAATAAGGTTGAAAGTCCTTCATATTATGCTTTTCTCTTTATGAAACCATTGTAAGATGTAGAAGACACAAGGCGTATCTCTACATTTGTTGAACAATTAAAAGCCCAGTTGTACGTGGCAAATAAATTAATCTATCCCAACCACAACATAGAAAACTGAAAACCAGAAACAAGAATTCAAAAAAAGTACCATGGCAATGAATCGTCCAATACACTCAAAATATTTTAAATGATCAGGGTTAATAAATGAGGCAGGATTGATCTGCAAGCTATAATTATTTGCTCCAGCATACATAAATAAACAATACATAGGATTGAGTACTTCATGTGATAATAAAAAGAACCATTCCCTGAAACAAATTTTCTACTGCAAAGATTAAATTTTTAAACCACTTTAAGATGATACAAGAATACTAAGCAAATAAATGTCTAATTACAAATTTTGAAAAAAATACCTGAAATAAAATTGCTCTTTCAAAACGTTGAAATGCGCATTTGTTCTTGAAATGAATGAAAAGCTAATACTTGATAACTGTTAACTTTTCATTCAGCTTCTGAAGAAATGTGCTGATTTTAGTAAAAATAAAACATACCTTGCAACGCCACCATAATCGAGACCCTCTTCACCGCGAAATTGTATGTAAAGGCGCCTACGAAGATCTACCGGATTCTTTCTCATTATCTGAAACTTCATAAGATTATGACTACATATTCACAATCCCAGATGATGTCGCGTCCATTAATTTGATCATATCAAAATGACAACTGCATTAAATGTGAAGAACCACCTCTTGGTATGAATCCTCAAACAAATTGTTGCGTGAGACAGCAATTTTCACATGATTTGGGATACTGTTCGACTGAAAAAAAATTATGAATAACAAGATAAAAACTTGGTACAAAAGAGACTATAACACTATTTAGATTGCAACGTTTTTTATAACCATCTCTTCTTTGATTTATATACAGCAATAAATGTTATTCCCGAAATAAAATTAATTATACCAGCATTCTTATGTATAGTTAATAAATAACTGACCAGACAGAGATACCGAAACTGGGCTATTTTCCATCTAAATGTTCGTTCAAAACTCATCGGCAATCCGTTAGCACCTAAAGGTCCCACAGGTTTTCCAGTACGAGGATCATTATAAGTGGTCGACTTTGTATTATGATCAATAAAAAAAGGTACTCCTTGCTCCGTAAATCTCATTTCCCAACCGTCTGGTAGCGGATCATCCGACACACTACAAAAATTCATCTTAAAATTAGCTCTATATAAATTTTCAAGAATATTCAATAAAATTCATATTTCCTTCAAGTCGTTTCAAATCTGCAAAAAATGCAGTAAATCCTGAATTTCATTAAAGCAAATGATAATGCTTTAATTTCCCGTCTACCAGTAACCGTTTTTATTTACTTCCTCTTTATTCACTTTCTAAAACCACCCATAAATGGTAAGCTTGAACATACCCCTGAGTACGAGGATCTTCCCATTGCGTCGTTCTATTAACATGATTAACAAAATATATACGCCCAGTGTTTGGATCGGCACGCTTCTCCCAACCATTTGGTAATGGACCCAACGGGTCATCATTTGATATCATCGTATTAGACTGAAACAACACTGTCATTTTTTTAAAAAATTTATATAAACTAAACTGATTTTTTGATTGCAGATACACTGCCTTACTTAGTTCCAGTTTCTAGAAAACAAGATACATTACAAAAAAA